TTTAAAATGGAATTTAGAATTAAATTATAAGAAATGACTGTAATATTTTTTTCTGTCTATTCGAAATAACATAAAAAATGTGGTGCACACTTTAAAATAACCCGCTACGCGGGATATTCACTGTGCACCACATTTTTTATGTTATTTCTTCATAGACAGAAAATATATTACAGTCATTCCTTAATTGGTACATAATGTTAAGAAATATAAATGAAAAACATAAGATTTCTATCTGATGACGTCACAATTACGTTATATTATGTAACGTTTTCATGAAAATGATGAAAAATACAGAATTTAAGCAGTTTTTCCATCGTTATTTCCATTGTGGAGACATCGTGCGCAACCAAGAAACAACAAAATGATTTAAGAGAAGCTTTATTATAACTATTGACATAATCTCACCAAATTTAAAGTTGTTTCCTCGGATGCGCACATACTTTGCCAATCTAAAATTTGATGAAAAACAAGGAAAATCAAGAAATTTTACAAAATATAAGAATTTCGTCATGGTTTGTTACTATGGTTACTCGATCAATGTCAAATTTGTTTTTATTTTCTGAATACCTCGTACCTTAGTCTAGTTAGGACAAATTTAAGAATATGTAGGATAACTTTTAAATTTGCAGTAATATTTGGGCCAAATAAGGGCCTTATTGCCCCTTCTCCTTTTTGTTAACGTTATATGACGTGTGTTGAAAAAAAGAAAACAATGTCACCGTGTGTAGGGGATCAAGAAGGGATTTAATTACTTTGAAATGGAAGTATCGTATGGACTTGTGAAAAACAACAATTTTTAATCACAATTTCATTCATATCTCTAATAAAATCAGTATTTTAGAGTACTTTGGAAACAGGTACAATGAAAATAAGTTGAACATTCACTGTTTTAAACAAGAAACGCAGCCAAAACCAGCTACAGATTGACATGACTGGTGGTCACTAAAATTGATGTATTACAGTAAAAAATGATGGCTCCATAATTATGTAGAAATGTGAAATAGGTTACCCGCTTGCATTTAAGATTTTTATCGTTCTTTTCCGTATTTGGATACGCAAACGTCAAATTATTTAAATTCGATGTTTTTGGCGAACAAAAAAGATGGCTGATAATTTTTAGAACAGACAGGATAAAGAAATAGCAAATACAAGTTATTTTGGACAATGTTTCTATGTCGTATTGAAACTATATATATATTGCTCACAAAACCTACAAACTTTAAAAATCAATTATAATAAAAGCATGACAAGTTGAAAAAAAATAGTTTAAACGTCGATTTTTTAGCTGATTTATTTGGCGGACTTTTTGACGTCATCGACGAATATAGCGCCACCTAATAATACCCCCCCCCCCCCCCCCCCCCCCCAACCCCCCCTTTCTATTGTTGCTGATAGAGCTTGACGATAACGGACGTTTCGAATTAAGGACTTGCTTACCAACTGATGTGACTTGTATACATAAGTGTTATAAAACAATTGATTGACGTTAACAATAGTATGACGTTAACAAATACAAGGGATCGAGACTACTAATGTCATTTTAAAATTGGAGTAAAGTCTTTAAAATGTCACGTAAAAATTAAAATATCATTTATCATGTAATTCCGGGTTGAGAAGATCTGAGAATGTTTATGAATAATTCTTCTTTCATCTTCCGGAGAAAATCCTTTTGACGATTGACATATACAACGGAAATATTTTAAATCGTCCATTATATATAGTATATGTTTCCCTAAAATCCTAAATTCTTCATTTAATTTTCAAAAGATTTTAAGAAATATATTGTTGGTTTTCTCAGACCGTCAAAACCCTATAAACAAGCGTAAACAAATCATTGAATACACAACTTCGGCCTACACTAACATGTACAAATGCAACAATACATAATCAGGCTATTATTTTGAGCCAAAGATAGGGATTGCCCGACTTGTTGTTTTAAGTAGTTTACAGTGATCACTAGGCTGAGAACACAGAGGTTGCGAGTTCGATTCCCCTTCGAGGCATGTGCATTCGACTCCGATTTTTTATTGACTAGAATTGCAAGTTTTCCAACAAAAGGGCGGTTCCAATTGCATTTAGTAATCCTGGTCGACCTTCTTTCGAAACCTATCTTTTTGATTTATTATATTAATTTGTCCCCGGTCTAAATATGCATGTAATGTTTCCCACTGGACGTAAATCAAACAACAATTAATTAATGCCCCCCCCCCCCCCTCATTAATGATTCGGTCGCAGAATTTTGCAACTTTGAACAACGATACACATTAAGTAACTTCATGGTGGTCGATATGGAGGATGAAAGAACTATTCTTTTCTCAAACAAAAGACTTTTGATGATGTAAAAATTCCTGTCCTTGTAACACTAATATAAAAAGATTTATTGCATGTTTTCCCATCAAGAATTAGTTAGAAGATTTAATTGATTTCAAGGCTTAAAATGAATGTATTTTAACATGAAACATATGTACTGCGTTTGTACTTGACGAATTGATCACAAACGATATAGAATGCAACCGCGATAAGTTCCTAAATATTTTTTGAAATATCTCAGATTAAAACTGTCTTACTTCAAACAAGCTTGCTAGAATCATAATATACTAATCGGAGTATCGTTTATCTTAATGAATGAGGAAACGTTATTTGACGAGATATTGACATTTTAATATTCTTTTAGATTGTTCTTTTATCGTCCAGTTGCAAATATTTGATACATATTCAAGACGATAGGAAAGTAATTGACGACCTAATTATATCTCGTAAAATGTCGTTGGTTTGAGAGATTCTATGTCAGCACTGCTGTTTTAAGATTTCCAAGTCAACCCCATGTGGCCACTCCATCAGACAAATATCCATTAACGGTGTTCAAGCATCAATCGGAATAACCGGCTTTTCGTATTGATTAGTTTTTTTCATAATACAACAGACAGAAATACTGACACTATGTTCACGCTTCGACTCACAATGATCCGACAACGATCAGTTCTACTCTCCTCCATTAAGGAGATACTTGAACATTTCAGAAGGTATAAATTAGAAATGCTCCGAGGATACCGAAAAGAACTTTTTTGTAAAACAGAGCGTTGTCGTAGGCTGGCCCTTTACCTTGTAACATACGGGTATCTCAGACACCCTTGTTGTCTGTCAGAGCCAAACAGATAAAAGACAGGGAACCCTTGTCTAAGCGTTGTCAAATCCTTGTAACCGAGGCATGGACCAATGAAATTGTTTAAATTATAATGTGGGTGAAATCGTCAAGGAGCGTTACCCCCCTTTTCAGATTCTTTCTCCAAAATCAAAGACACTGCTCTCTTTACGTTGTCAATTGTTGTAATTATGATTCAAACTAAGTAATATTTGACAAGTTTTTGGAAACAAAATTACTTAAGATTCTTTGATAATAATTCCGATGTATTTGATAATACAATAAAAACTTGACTTGTTTTGAAAATTAACCGAGATTGCATTGTAATTTGTCATTTTCTATTTCAATTATCGCCGCGATGTTGTCAATTTAATTAGATTTATCACTTTAAAATTCAATTTTGAATCTTTAAATTAAACACATTAGTTTCAATTGTCAGTTTTAAATTAAAGTGATGCGATTTTTTATGATCAAGTTTTTAATTAAAAGATGAGTAATTATTGGCTATTCGAATCCATTATTTGATTGATTACATGTAGTTCGCTTTATAGCAAGTTAGAACGATACGGATTTAAGATGAAACATTAGTTTTACTGAGTTAAATCAAATTTAAAGTGTCATGTAAAGTCGGCATGTCATACAACAAGAACATAATCTCTTTTGAGCTTTTATAACCGAGTCAGCAGCATGACAAAGAATAAGTTAATTTTGAAATCAACCCCTTTTTTTGTGTACTACTTTTATCAATGTTACAGGCATACAGTACTGTATGGATTATTCGGTTCGTGTGTCCGTAAAAGTGTTACGCCTCTGCTCATAAAAGATCCTATTATTAAAATTGATCATTAATTATACTGAACATGACATACGAGCATTTCTTTTTGCGTGATATTATTTTATTAAGTCGCTGGTTTTAGTAATTCAAACTTTAGTGTTTATTCTCCCGGGATTTACGTACTGTAGAGTAAATAATCCATTATTTCGAGGTTAAAATTTATAATTGACATAAAATTAGTACTGATAATCCGATCTTTATTAATAATGTATCTTATAAAATAATGAATCGTAACAGACTGAACCGTAAAACTCTAAACAACTAACTAAAGTCGAAAAAGTGCCTAATTTATAGATAAAAGTTTGGTCTCAAGGTAACCGATTTAGGAAGCAAAGTTCCTTTCCATTCCAATGCAATACTTTAACAATGTATGAGAGTTGATAATATTTGAAATCAGAAGGTTGTCATTTTTTGTCGGAATGTGTTTATTGTAACTGATTCAAGGAAAAAAATTCATTTCGTTCTATTGAAATAAAATTGATAAAACAATAACTGAAATTCGTTTTTATTTTATGTAACTCATCCAAGGAAAAGAATTTCACTTCATTCTACTGAATAGAATTTATATAACATTAACTAAAATTCGTTTTTATTTCAGGTAACTGATTCAAGGAAAAGAATTTCACTTCATTCTACTGAAATAAAATTGATATAACAATAACTGAAATTCGTTTTTATTTCAGGTAACTGATTCAAGAAAAATAATTTCTCTCATTTTACTGAAATAAAATTGATATAACATTAACTAAAATTCGTCTTTATTTCAGATAACTGATTCGAGGAAAAGAATTTCACTTCATTCTACTGAAATAAAATTGATATAACAATAGCTGAAATTCGTTTTTTTTTTCAGGTAACTGATTCAAGGAAAATAATTTCTCTTCATTCTACTGAAATAAAATTGATATAACAATAACTGAAATTCGTTTTTATTTCAGTTTACTGATTCAAGGAAAAGAATTTCACTTCATTCTACTGAAATAGAATTGATATAACAATAACTGAAATTTAATTTTATTTCAGAAAACTGATTCAGGGAAAAGAATTGTACTACATTCCATTATGAATAGTACGGACTATTACTACGTGTACTGTGATGAGAATGGAAAGAACGATTCCGACAATGATACAGAGACACCGGAAGTGAAGCTTAACAGGACGGCCATTACAACGTTTTTGGTATCATCGTATACCATTATTTGTATAGCCGGTCTGATTGGAAATGCGTTAGTTATTTATGTCGTTCTACGTTTTGCCAAAATGAAGACTGTTACAAACTTGTACATATTAAATCTTGCTGTTTCTGATGCGATGTTTTTAATAAGCTTACCATTTCTTATAACAACTACTGTTTTAGAACACTGGATATTTGACACAGCTATGTGTAAGATATATTTTGTATTATACTCAATCAACTTCATAACAAGCGTTCTAACTCTTACTGCTTTGAGTGGAGATCGATATCTTGCTGTATGTCATCCCGTATCTTCAGGGCGATACCGGACAACTAAAATCGCTTTCTTTGTCTGTCTCCTGATCTGGTCCCTTTCGTTTTTTGTGATGCTACCAATAATTTTGTATTCGACAACGATTCCAAATTCAAAAGACAAATCACATGACACCTGTACTGTAAAATGGCCGGAAGACCAACTGATACCTCCAGAAAAGGCATTCACATGGTATACTTTCTTACTAGGATTTGCGATTCCAGTTTCCTTAATCTTTGTATTTTACCTATCGGTTGTGCTAAATTTGTCCTGTGTTGGTCCAGGTATGCGCACTGCAAACAAAAAACGATCACGACGAAAGGTAACACGCTTAGTTTTTGCAGTTATCGGTGTCTATATTTTATGCTGGTTGCCTCATTGGGTATTCCAAGTAAATCTTACATTTCAACCACAGGACTATAGACTGAAAGATTGGGAAATATATCTTTTTAATGGTCTTACAGTTTTGACGTACGCTAACAGTATGCTCAATCCTCTACTTTATGCGTTTTTGAGTGATAACTTTCGGCGTTGTTTTCGCAAAGCTTTCAAGTGTGCAGAAAATCCTGATGCGGAACGGCGGTTGACAATCGAAAATAGTGTTTTACCAAAGAGTAATAAGAAGAAAACCAAAAAAGCTGTACCTTCAGTCAAAACCAAAGCAAAATATGAACTGGCGACATTGACAACAGCTATAGGAAGTGCCTTAATTTTACCGAATGATGGCCTTCTACAACCCTCTCACCAAGAAACAACGAGCTTGTATGTTGATAAAGAAATTCAAACAAGTTAAAAGATTCGCTGTATAGGATAGATGTCACTATGTATATATAAAAAAAAACATTCATCTGATAACAAACATTTAAAATTTGTCTCCAACTCCTGACTCTCGTTTTCGCATTTAAACAAAATTATACAATAACATATGTCAAGGAAATTTAAAATCATTTGTATTTAAATTGTGTTCGTGCACAGAAATATTGAAGTGCATCCAACTTGTAATATTGATATCGTGTAGAAATGTGTCGCCTTTTTAAACATTTCATCATTGTTTTAAGATAAGAATGTTACAATCGATAAGTTTGAATAATACACCTATGAGTTACAACAACGGAATCTCCATCTATTTATCGTTATGTTTAATCACGTAAGATCTTAAAGAGGAAGTGCCAGGTTTTTTTTCTGAATTTATTTCATTTACAGCTAGCTTAGAAATTTGAAAGATGTTAAAACCTACTGGAATTTGAATATTTAAGAGTCTAGATACTACAAATTGAAGATTTTAAAACAATTTTACACATAAACATGGAATCAATATGCTTTCAACGCTATACTTTGTTGTTGTGAAGACAGTTTTTATACAATATCGATCATTTTATCGGAACTTTTCTCATCCCTAAGCGTCCGTTGGGGGCAATTGGAACGAAACATGACAACACTCACCGTATGGGTATTGAGTTTAAAAATGTGTCCGATGATCCAACCTTCGAGTATACATGACCTCTAAGGCTAAACTATAACATGGGGGTAAGACGCAAGTAATGTCCATTACTTTTTGAACATATATTACTTGAGAAAATTTGACTGAGACAGAAAGGCTACGAATATCAAGATATACATTCCCTATAATTAGACGAAAACTCTTTATATGAGTTTTTACCCGTAAATGAGGATGTTTTTAAATCAATTTCTCACAATTTTTAATATTATCTTTAAAATTATAAACGATAAAGTAAAACTGTAAATCTCAAAAATTATCAGCAGGACAATATCTACATTTAAATCCTCACTGTTGGCAGTCAATTCTTTATAAGAGTTATTTCTCTTGGAAGACGCATTTTACCATTTTTATTTTTGTGTTGCGGATATAGAAGATAGAGATAGAGAACAGTAAACCGAAAAAATTATCATCAGGACAAAACTTCTTTTAATCAAAATATAAATCAAATGGCTGAAGTCAAAACTGCCAAGGAACTGTTATAGGAATTATTGCCCTTAAATGACAAATTTTACCATTTTTTTCATTTTTGCTCTTTATCTTTAAAACTAACAGATAGAGAGAAACTTTCAGTTGCATAAATGAACAGCAAGACAAGATCTACGAATAAGTATGTATGGTCGAAATCGTCAGTCGACTCCTAATTAGAATGATTGCCCTTTGATGACGACTTTTACCATTTTTTTGCGTTTTTGCCTTATATCTTAGATAGATAGAAACTTAAATAAGCAAAAGTGACCAGCAAGACAAGATCTACATTTAAGACAATATGGGGGAAATTTTCCGACGACTCCTTATTGTATTTAGTTCCCTTTAATGACGATTTTCACCATTTGTTTTTGCATTTTGCCTTATGTGATAAAAATTATTATATATCATAAATAGAAACTTTAAATAACAAAAATGATCGGCAAGGCAAGATCCATAAACAAGTCAAATTTTGCCGAATCGGATATAGTTAGTAGACTTTCACTCTTCATAGGAGTGATTGTCCTGAAATGAGGATTTTCTTTTGTGTTTTTATCAAAAACTAAAGAGGATAGAGAGAAACTAAACAGACTAAATGATCAGCAATACAAGATCAGCAAAAAAGAAATTTTTGTCATGAATTCGATTCGTGTCTACAATGTTGGAGAGAGTCCATTGTTGATTATGCACATAGACCTAGGTGAGCGACACAGGCGCTTTAGTTTGCAGTAACTATAAAAGTAGATAGAGAAAATGTGACCAGCAAAAATGACAATGATAGCGGAACAAAATGAATAAAACAGCATGTCCGAAATCGTCATTAATTTTTATAGGAGCTATTATCCTCGAAAAACGATTGCTGACGATTGTTTAAAGACACTATTGTAGATAGAGATCTAGTAAATCTGAAAACAGCAAAAAATTTCATCGGGACAAGATCTATAATGATAGGTAAATGTGGCCGAATTTGAGCGAAACAGACTACCTGGAATTTCTATTTTGCTGTTGATTAAGTTGAGTGTTCACAAACATACCAAATGTTTGACTTAATTAGTTGTAATGATTAAAAGAAATGACTGAGGGTTTATTTAATTAGCAGGTCGCCTTGGTTTTATTTCCATACACTATCTTTTTTTTTTTTTTAATTCGAGAGTCTTTCTGAAATGACAGGATTTAAAAAAAAACAAAAAACATTGCTTTTTTTCAAAATCCCATATGAAAAACGTGTGAATAACTGTGTTGTTCAATGTTTCGCCGTCTTTTGGGGGTGTTTTAATATGCTTAGCATAATTACATTGACTGAAATCATATCTTCAAAACATCTAAAAACCCTTTTTTAAAACACCTATTGGACGAGTGAAAGCGAAACCATTAGCACGTTTTTCATATGAAACAATATTAATTAACATTACTGTGTATTGTTTTTGTTAGATGTGTTTTAATGGGTATTGTAAAATAAAATTTTATTTTCGAACAACGATTTTTCCTTTTAAAATTAATATATTGGTGTATACTTCAATGAGACGGCAACCTTAACGACAACAATAACTTAAAAAGATGTACATGATGTAAATACATCAATTGGACGACAAACAGTCTTTACAGCAGATAAGTGTCCATTTAATATGTAAAAAAAAAAGAAAGAAAAAAAACGAATAGACATGTCACGAGACAACCACTGGTGAAGCTCCTGACTTGGGACAAGTACATGAATATGTGGAAGGGGTTTATAATATTTAAAAAAAAATCACCATATACAATGTAATTACTCGGCAAAACAACGATACACAAAACAGTATAGTTTTTTTTACGATAGAAAACCAGAAGAGCGAAAACAATCTCTTGATTGTAATATAACTGCATGTATAATTAGATCATAAAATAATTATACAAAATACAGCGAAGCAACGGAAATGAAACAAAATGTATTTTTTTATGGTTATTACCCTCGCAATAAGTTTCCGGCAAAAAATTTGGACTTGAAACTTCGGTACTTATAAGAAATTTAATTACCTTTGAAATATGAAAAAAAAACAAATTCGACCTTACCAACTCGTTGATAACGATATTTATCCTCTCGAGATACATGTAGTTAATATTTTGAAAATTTAACAATCGAGAGTGATCAACAGTAGAATTTGTTTTCTCTAATGATTTAAAAGAAAATGCAAAGTTCAGTGTTCCGAACAGATATGACCGGAAAATACATGCGACAAATTTAACTAAGTGCAATGCATATGAAGTCGTACATTTTTAATTTGATGGCTTTAATTTATTGATGATGTCATACAACAGCCTCATAAACGATTCAGATAGAAAAGATTAAGTTAACTTAGTATTTCATAACATTTCCTTTATCAGAAAAGATAATTTACATCACGCTGTTTTTACGCAAAATAAATGTTTTATTGGCAAACTGGATCCCTGCATCCTTGAACTGACAAGGTCACGGAGTCATATGTTTCGTCTGAATTCCTCTGTAAAATATAGAGTCATCTAAAGCCAAATACTTTGATGGAAACATAACGGTTCAATTCAAGCGTAATGTCTATTATTAAATTAATTATAATTCTAGATGTAGGAATTCATGCAGAACAAATTTTCAGCACACGGTATTCATTTTGATATCAACTAACCATGAAAGGGTTAATATGTACTTGTTGATAGAATCAAAGTAGGTCACCAACATACGATGTACTGTTAAATACCAGCTGGATATTTCAGGTCAGATCAGTTCTATGTGAATTTTTTGAAATTCTTATGTCAGACAGAACACAGCACTTTTCAAAACAAATGCCTTGTTTGAGGAAGCTTTTTTTCGGTGATAATTTCGTGTTATTTTACGATGACATTCGCCTCAGAGTTGACGATTACAAATAGACGAGTTTTTGTTTTCCTCGCTTTTATCAAACACCCCTTCTAGGAGTGGGGGCTATATTTCACTCACCTTATACGTTCGTGCAACACATACTTCCGTCACACTTATCAACATATTAACTCCATATTTAGTCAGCAGCTTGACAGCTACCAGTTGTGATGTGTGAGCCCTTGTCGAACTTGTGAGACATCTACTGCCTGTCAATAATTGAACTTTTTAATGTTTTGAATTACCTAAAAAAATCGTCACACATTTCTCAGGTACTGCTGGATAGAATATGACGTCATATATGCCAACAGCCTAAAAGTGATGAGTTGAAATGCGTGAGCTCTTGTCGGATTTGTCAGACACGTACTTCCTGTTTGTCGATACTTTCAATTTTTCAATATGCTTAATGAACTTAAAATTTGTCGTCACACTTTTCTCAAGTACTCCTGATTGGAATGACGTCATAATTAGTCAGAAGCTTCGTAGTGATGAGTTATGACATGCGAAAAAGTTCCGGATCTGTCAGACACCAACTTCCTGTTTTCCGATACTTTGAATAACGAGTGTGGGTATGGTTAGCACGACAACGATTTCAATCTTGTCATTTAAACAAAAATAATTAACGGATTAGTGGAGTTGACATATTGCACATCAATGGGACAGCAATCTAACAACTTACTTCATTTTCGATAAATAAAAAGGTATAGAAAGGAGCGTAAAACAATCAGAAGAGAACAATAAAGATCAACAATCAGAACATGTATTTCAGAAAAGACAAATGAAAATATGATATAGGTTTTAATCAAACTTACATGACAACCAAATACCTGCAATTAATATGTTTTTCTTCTAAATACAAACACAATAAAAAAAGATAGACAACCAATGATAAAGAGGTACTTGGTTGAGGTACATTAACATGTACTAGGGTTAAATTAATTTCTGAATTACTCCACCATCTTGTTTGTTATCTTGCTCTTTGGAATAACAAAGGGTACAGAGAAGATTGCACCAAAAAAAATCAGTTCAAACAAAGCTCTTATTCCTATATGCAGTACTATTTTGTATTACAGTTAGTATTTTACCTTTAGTCTTTGTACCTTTAGTTACTGTTATAACATTACCGATTCCAAGTTCACTACAATAGGTATATAAGTTTTGACAATTTGTATATTCTCAGTGATACTCGAGACCAAAATATCTAAAAAACAAAAACCTAATACAAAAATTGACGAGCATATAAAACAAAAAATTACCAAAAGTCATGGCAATGGGTAAAATACTAAAAGCAATACTAAATATTACTGTATATCAAGGAATCCAAGTCGATTTACAGAAAAATAGCTATTATAAATGGGAGCAATAAAAATAAATAAATCGAAGGACGGACTATGGCATAGTCAAAAGAAAAGACAAACAATTGTTTGAAAACTACAATACAAAACACTAAATATTAAGAACCCCATCACGCCCCAGGAAAACCGGTATTTACATCAGTTAACTGTTACTCAGAAAGGGTAAGCAGTTCATGTTACTTAACCAGGTTTATTCCACCACTTTCTACATAAGGAAATACCAGTACCAAGTCAAAATTATTACAGTTATTTTCCGTTCGTTTTGGTGCTTTCGATATTACCATTAGTTAAGGGACTTTCCGTTTCAAATGTTCCTTGGAGTTCGGTATTTTGGTTATTCTACTTTTTTTTTGTACTAGCGGAACATTTGTGTTGATCACAATAGAAATACGAGTACGAAGACTTTGACGGTGTAAATACGATAAAATGAACACATCTGTGAAACAGATATCCTGTTAGGTCAACTAATTTCTTATAACGTCCATATGATTTTCAAAAAGATGTCTTTGAACAACTTTACAGTTTTAAAAACAATATTCATTTGATTCTGTGAATACATTGTACCTTGTTTCTTGCATGTAAGCAGCAACATACTATCAAGGATATCTGGATACAAAATAGAACCTAGAATATCGTATCAAGTGGGAGATACATACTCCATGACTGTGGTGCTAGAATATTACTACATGATAATACCATTAGAAATTTAAAAGTTGAAAATTAAAACATCACTTCACTTTTTGTCCGTTTTTATCCGAAATGACAAAAATATTCTCTTTGTGTCTTGTTATGACAAACAAACGGCGTATCGAAAGCCTATATTTTTCTCAACAATTAGTTATAATTTGTAATAACAAAGACATTGTTAATAAAGGCAAATGACATCAAACACATTTATAGATAAGATAGATAAGAAAAATATATTTCATTTCGTTTGAAATTGGGTTTTTCCCGTTTGCTATTTGTAGGACTTATATATAGATGGGAACTAGTATAACTAGTTCTGATACTAGTTCTGCAACAGTACTTACTATTTATAAAGTTTGATGTTAGGTGCATCAGGCACGAGAAAAGTTTTGTCGGTTTCTACGGGTGGGGTTTTATGGTACTATATAAAGTTTGGCATTTAAATGCATAAGTATCGAAGGTGCTCGCAGTTACGTCGAATCTAAGTTAGTCACATTAGTATAAATACAGTTGCTGCTATGTTTATCACCTGTATTTATATGTTGTTTAAATTGAAGAAATCTGTACAATTCAGTAGAATAAAATATTGTATCGCAAGAGAAAATTATATGTTACTGCGAGCAACTAATCCTATTTCTGTGTTTGTCTTGTTTATAACCAATTGAATTTAGAGTAGAAATACTTTAAATTCGGACAAGCAGGGCAAGGGAGAATTTAAGGTGTTTTCTATCAGACTGAACTTTATACAAATGCAACACAGATTAGTAACTTTGTAACAATGACAAGTGAATGTAATATTTTACATTTAAGTAAATAATTTATATTTAACACTACGAATTAAGACGTGGATCCTATTTTACGTATTTCCTTGAAGGAATATATGACATAATAATACATATAAACTATCTGATATAAGACAGAAAAAATGGGTAGTTAAATCGAAATGGGAAACGCATAAACCATCGGTTAACTTGTATTCGAAATGATACTAAATAAAATACAATTTCTAAGCAATCGCATCAATCATGATCATCATTTCAAGTAAGTTTGTTTATGTTAGTGTTTGTCTTTAAACATATAATGTAAGTTTTCTACTGTTACAAATAATGCATTTTTCAATCATATTATATAATTAATACAGAAAGAACCTTGACAGATGTACATTGTTATCATCGTGCCATTAGAAACTAAAATGATAGATCAAAATTATTTGTAACTCTTTCAGGCACAATTTTTTCATAGATGGCTTTGGCTATTGATATGCTTCTTTTAAACACTTTTATTTCATACTAGTTATGTTATAGGCTTCCGAAACTTCTTACCTATCTGCATTCGATGTTGACTTAATTAGTTAGTATAGTTACATCAATGATAATCAAAACGACTGACGATTAATTGCTTATGGTTTTGTTCCTATATGTTAAAAGAACACTGAAAAACAAGACCTAGCAAATCAGAAAGTCTTTTCCTGGAAAGAATAAGTATTTTTGCGTTGTACTCTCTAGACATTGTTTTGTCTATTGTTCGATTTACGTTTCATGAAAACATGCACCTTTTCAACATTTACTG